CAGAACACCCCAAGCCAGGACCCGGCTCCCCAGCACCGCCTGGCAAAATCCCAACAAAACAGGGCTGGAAATAATACTGATGCGCAAAGTCCCCTTTAATAGGCGGGCAGGGAGGATTGTCGCTGAGCCCAGCCACGGCACATGCAGGATGAGCTTCCAAGCACTGCAGCTGGGGTCTTGCTGATGCCCTACAGTGATGGACAGACACAGAGGGGGTCACAGGCAACAAAGCCGCACTGGCCGCCTGGGAGCCGAGGGGTGCTAAGATGACACAGTCACTGCCGTCAGGGCTCCGTTCCGGGTGTAGTAGAACTTGCTGAATGCCTCTTCAAGTAAACAGGTAAGTCTGCTCTGGTCAGCCTGGGAAGAACAAGCTACAGTGAGGGGTGGGCCCAGTCCGTGCAAAGCTAAGAGCTTGGCTGAAGCCTGCCAGCGCACATGGGCAGGGACGCGTCTTATTTCTCCTACCTCCCCAGCTACAAAAAGACTGGTCTGGCATAAACCATTTAAGTTTGAGAATGGAATGCAGACCTATATCCCTACCTGAGCCCCAGGCCTGCTTACCTCACTGATGAATCCAAGCTGGACCAGTTCAGCTGCCAGCTCCTGGATGTTGTCATCTGCAACACAAGGATGGGTGTAAGTCCCAGGTCTGAGTGAACTGCTGGCCCCAGCGCATGGGAAGAAAGGTACTTACTGGGCTGCAGGTCACAGCTCAAGTGTCGATTCAACTTGTCTTCCAGTTTCAGCAGCAGTGTTAACTGCAGGGTAGAGAGGTTCTCATGAGGGACTGCATGGTGGCCACAGCCAGGAGCATCCCCAGAAATCCCCATCAGGATAGCAACCACCCCCCTCCAGAGGCCCACAGGAGTCTAACAGAACAACCACATCCAGTTCCATTTCAAACCACAGCCAGCAGCACCACCCTGCGGAGGAAGCCTGAATCTGGGGGTGGGCTGAAAACATTTGCTACGTGCTAGGTCAGCCACAGGCATGGGCCTGGATCTGGCTTTGGGCCCCACAGACGGCAGCTGGCAGCAGAGGGTCACACCAGGCACCAGCAGCACATCGGCATGCTGGAGCCACGTGCTCTGCACAGCTGCCCTGGTACACCCCCACACCGCATGCTCGGCCAGGAGACGGGAACATACATGGTGCTTCACTCCCTCCTCTACTGACTCAATGTTGCACTGCATCAGCACCACCTGAAACAGGAGCAGAGACACCCCGTGACTGACTGCTGCTGCACAGCACAACTGCCTGGGGAGAGGAGGAATGGAGCTCCCATCTCTCACCTTGCGGGTCTCCACCTCAGCAGGCTCTGGAGTTGGGGTTTTCACTGATGGTGGAGCAATGGGAGACTTCACCACTACTTGCTGGGGCTGCTGGGGTCGCGGCATCCCAAAAGCTGTGAGTGGGTAGATACCATTCCTACAAGAAAGGAGCAGGGTCTGAGGTTATGCCTCTCCTAAATTTTTCCAGTCTTACACACAGTTAAAGTTGCCCTTTAAAAAAAACCCTCTTACCTTACATCCTCCAGGAACTTGTCCAGCTCCAATGCCGGAGATTGTGAGAAGCTGGGGCAGGGGGAAGAAGGAAAAAAAAAAAAAAAAAAAAGTAGTACTGAGGTGAGAAGCCATCTAGCAGAACCATCGACTCAAGTCTTTTCAGATCCAATTTCAAATCCCCATGTCCTACACTACGGCTCTGTCAGTGGGCAGGATGAGTATGGACACAGGCAGCCAGCCAAAGGCGAGACAGACTCCAATCTTCCTGTACAGGAAGCAACTATTCATAGAAGCTAAGAATGAGGCAACATTTTAATTATGGCAGAACAGGTATCACCTCCCTGTAGAGAGTTGTCCAATGCAAACAATTATTTGGAAGCTAGCCCAATAACACCATGTTCCTAGCAAGGTTTTTCAAAGACATCTGTTACACCAGACCCATGAAGCCTGCATCCCATCTCCAGAAGAGCAAGGGCACTCAGCACTGCAAAGGCGAGAACCTCTGCAGCAGCTGATGGCACAGTATGACCAGCCGTATCACTCCAGACCAGAAACCAGAAACTACACCTCAGGACTTAATGCCCCACCCAAATATTTCTCACTGGAGTTTGGGATACTTTTGTTCTCTCTTTCCCAGATCGCTCGTTCAGCTTGGTGGCTTCTTAATGTAGTGCCCCAGACGAAGTCTTCCTACCAATTCATTTTTAATTCCCCAGCCTCTAATTCCATTGAACATCTTCCTTGCTGGTGGCTGATGGAGGATAGCGAGCACTGACAACCCCTCCCCTTTGTGCCATAACTTGTCATATGCCTACTGCTCTTCCTCCTTCTCACCCTCAAGAACATACAGTTCCTCCGTGTGACAATGATTTCCAGCCCCTTGGTGAAGTCAGCTCTCTGATCTGCTCCAGGACTGTTCACAAAGGTTGCCACTTTGTACATGTCCATTGTACAGGTAACATCTTTAGACATTTCACTCAACTATGTAACCTTCTCCCCCATTATTTGGCACCCTGATATCATATTTGCTCTCGTCTACAGCTGCACAGCAGCGCATTTTCAACAAGATGGAAATGGTCTTTTCCTGTGGTGTTACTTCACAGCCTTCTCAGACAGAGAAGCAGTTCTCTTCTTCTCTAAAGCAAGCTATTATTGTCTTTTGCACAGCACAGGGAGTTAGCAACACCAGAATAGTCTACAGCGAGTACCTCATTTCTTTCTGGTTCTGGTAGGAGGCACAGGTTCTCCTACTTTACTAATTCCCCAGTAACACTTTCCTCATCACCTTAGTCAATTCAGCTTTTTAGTGTCCACTTGACCACAGCTTCTTTTAGACTGGGTGCAACAAAAACTTTGAACTGCCAGTCTTCTCCACATCACTGTCTTACGACTGCTTTGAAGAATTTCAGAGATTAGCCAGAGACTGCAAGCTGCTCGAATCCTGCCATGATCCTCTCCTAAGTGTTTGGCTGTTCCATCAGATTTGGTGTAGGCTGCACATCTGCCTCAGTTCCCCAGAGCACTCTCCAGCCCTTTTCAACACACACAACCTCTGTTACTTTCCCATCCTCTAGTACAGTAATAGTTTTCAGCAAAAATTTACAACTTTTTCTAGCAGCTCAGTTTGCATGGCACTCTGATGAATCATTTGGAAATGATGCTCTCTGACATTTCGAGTCATTACTGTGCTTTCTTTTTCTTTTTCCAGCACCTCTGAGGTACTGCACTACCAAAAGGCAAGTCCCAGGCTGGCATATGCCAGATAGCCAATCCTCTGCAGACCGAAGTCCAATATATGTAAAGAATCTCTCTTGCACAGCTTTGGTTATTCACTCTCTGTCCTCCATTTTGAACCTTTAATTAACAAAAAACATTCCAAAGGGAATTCAATACTATTATTTATTAGCGCTATGAAGATCAGAATGTCAGTTTTTAGAAACGTCTATATGGCTCAAAGAGCTTCTCAAACGAACAGTGCTTTTTTTTCCTTGTCCTCTTGATTACTTCTGTTCAGTAGCCTGAGCATCCCAGAATGCTGGGCTACCCTGGAAGTACCCTGGCCTTCTCTGGAAAAAACAGTATCCACATCTTAGCCTTTTCAGCTAACCGCTCAACTAGCTGAGGTTTCATTATCCAAAATTTAACATCGCTTTTGGCACTCTACTTGCTCCATACGCATTATGGTCACTTACTTTGGGAGCCACCTCTATAACTTAAGTGGCTGCTGTGTGTTACTGATAGCTGCCCAAAACAGCCTTTCCCTCTGCATATTGTAGAATGAGCTGCTCCGTTAAGGGAACACCAAGGAACCATTTCTCCAACATGTTGGACTCCATTCGACAAGCCTGTGATTGGTCCAAGCCACTTCCCCAAACTGCTCAACCAGGTTTTGCTAAGGACTGTTCCAACTACAGTGTCTCTCCCTCCATCTGGGGAACAATTCACATCTCACCTGTATGAATCTGTTCACAGAACATGGGTGCAAGGTCTTCTTCTACCCAGGAGTTACCCTCCACAGAATTTTTTGTGCCCAGACAGAGAGTGAATGCTCCTTCACCAACAGCACCATCAGCTCCCTTTTGTTTCCCAGTTAGTGGTGAAACACCAACATTAGCTTGAAGGGAAGAGACCCAAGCAGATCCTTCAGTGCTCACCCCAGTTCCACACGCACCTGAGCAGCCCCCTCCAAGTACACCACGGGGTACTCACATCATCTTGACTCCTTCCCTGTCCGCATGATTAATCTCTGCCAACACTGCACTCATGTCAAGGTTTTTGGTCATTTCTTCTAAAGCGTTTTCAGGAATCATATCTATGGGGGGAAAAAAAAAGTTAGACCTGAACAACTGCAATTCCTTTCCAACCTAAGAAAAGCAATAAAAAAACCAGAGGCTCTAGGCTGTTCATCTCCTGTGCGACTCAGAGCAGGCAGGGCATCATACTCCTCCAGGCTGTGCAGTGACCACAGCTCTGTTTCGCAAGGCCCTGGTCCCTGCCTGCTAAGAGCAGCATGAAGGTCTTGGTTTCCAGGATGCCAGCTGAACTGGTAACTTAGTGAAGCTTTGCCGAACACGAGATGTGGCACCCTGGGTCTCCATACTCACGCTGATGTCCAACGATACAGTGAGCAGCAAGTAGCTTTAATGATGGCACCTCAAACAACGCCTGATGAAAAAGGAGCTCCCGGGCAGTAGGACGCTTGCCAGGGTCCTGTTCTAGACACTTCTGAATGAACTCCTGAAAGACAAAAATTGCATGAGACCACGTGCAATGCCAACACGTCTGCAGGGGTGCTGATCCCTCCTCACTCACCCTCTGCAAGGGGTCCTCCAGCAGCTGGATGGCACTGTTAATGGCCTCCTGGGGCACGTAAGACGACTCTCCATTACCCTGTATTTCCAGCACTGCCATCTGCAAACACAAAGCAGCGCATTAGGCTTCACTGAGAATTACTGACTACATTGAACAGAGCTCAAGGAGACCACTGCCAAGCGTGAGATCATAACAGCCAAGTTGTTTGGTGCTATTTAAGGTCACAGTTTGTGGAGGCAGAGAGAGAATGACTGCCTCATTATGATAGCTTGTTTCTAGCACCCTAACAGATTGCCAGGGAGACCTGAAAACTGTGCCAGCATCACCTTAGACAGTAAGTATCTCCATTTTGAATCTCATGATCCATTGGCCTGTACTTCTGCTTGATAATTCCCATCCTCTAATGAAGCAGTAACTGGATCACTGCCAGAATCTGACAGTATCCCTCTCGGCTGTATGAATAGCTCTGTATTACAGGCAGAAATGCAAGCACACAACGCCATTCAGAACTGGCTCCAGCCAACACACACACAAATTCCCAGCTAGGAATGGCTGGCAAAAGATTCCAGAGAACGTCTTAAGACTCAACGCAAGTTTTGCTTCCTAAAAGTTGTGTTTCCACAGTTCTCTTCCTGCTTCTAGAATTATTTGTGTTGGCTCTTTCTGACAATTCTTCCCAGAAAATACTCCTACCAACAACTCCGATTTCCTAGACTTAGGCCTACTGATTGCAAGGACAGAGGAACCACTAAGCTGCTAAGATCAGGTACGTCAGACTCGCACCTGACTGCAACCAGCACCTGTATCAGGTGGGGACAGGCTGTCCGAGAAGAGTTATGGACTATTATTTGTGTTGGCTCTTTCTGACAATTCTTCCCAGAAAATACTCCTACCAACAACTCCGATTTCCTAGACTTAGGCCTACTGATTGCAAGGACAGAGGAACCACTAAGCTGCTAAGATCAGGTACGTCAGACTCGCACCTGACTGCAACCAGCACCTGTATCAGGTGGGGACAGGCTGTCCGAGAAGAGTTATGGACTACATCTGTCCTCTCCTCCAGACAGCACAGAAAGAACAGGTACTCCCCAGAAGGGGAGTTTTGTTCTCCATGTACATTAAGTACAGTTTGTAGTAATGACTGTTCCCACCAGCCAGTGGGTCAGACTTCAGAACTGGCCAAGACCCGCAGAGTAACAAATTACACATTAGGAATTTCAGAAAGAACTACACATTACTGAGCTATTTACTTCTTAGAAAGGCATTTGGGGGGGCCTCAATAGGGATCCCTCCAAGGCAAAGTGTATTTTGGCTCACAGAACAAAATGCACTTGTTACCAAGCTAACCCACCCATAATCACAGCATCTCCACAGAGCCATCTCCTTTCCTCAAATTCACTCTCTCTCTGTCCCACAGCCAAAGCATTCCACACTCACCTCCAGTGCACACATCCCGAAGGAGTAAATGTCCACAGCGGTGGTGACATTGGCAACTTCTGTAACACAGAAATAACACACTTATCAGCCATCCCTGCATTCAGCAGTACCAGCAGGACTACCTCTGTATCAGGCTATGATAATCCTGCAGCCTTCTCTCCCTCCTCTGCTATCAAAAGTCAGAGGAGTTGGAGCATTTAAGCAGGCAAGTAACTCAAAACTGTTAATGTGACATCTGTCATGAGCCTGTAGCTGAAAACAAGATGCAGAAGAGCTTGGAAGCATTAGTAAGGCCAACAAAACCAGGCTTGCAGCTGTAGCCATACCATACCTCCATATTCCGGGGCAAAGAAGTGCAGGTTCTTCTGCTCTTCACGACAGGTCTTCACATGGTTGTTAATTGTGTCCGGTGCCACTAGAAGAAAGTCATGAATGTTTAGGACACAGAAAACCATAGCCCATCCCCACCTAGATCCTAGGGAACCCATGCAACTCCAGGGCCCTCTGGTGCCCAAAGGGGCAGCACAGTGGAGTTAAGTTGGAAGTTGGCCGTTCAGCAGTCCCTCATCTCAGGTCACCTGCCCTGATATATTTCTCCATTGTTTCCTTGGGCTGCAAATCGACTAAGGCAGCTTAGCATTACTCTCCGAGAGCAAACCTGGAGACCACAGCTTCTGCCAAATAGGAAGACAAGCTGGGAAGGACTTCCCGCTGAAGTGCAAATCTTGAAAGCACCTAACTTAAATCAGATCCACAGCATTTGTCACAAGCAACTTAACTATAACAGAAGCCCTAGGAACAGCCAGAGATGCCAAGATCACTGCAATTAGTCACCACCTCAGGGCTCCAGGAGAGGGATAGACCTACAAGGCAACTCTTCCACATATCAGCAGGGCACTGGTGCCAAAGTGCCTCAAGACAAAAGTCAAGCAAAGCTGCTGAATGAGGAGAGATGACCAGCCTGACAGCAGAGGCCTCCCAGCAGCCAGCACCTCCACAGCAACAACCACAAACCACTCAGAGCTATGGGGAGGGAATAACTCCCAGCCACAAGAACAACGAGCAGAACACGAGCATGGACCCCCCCATAAAAGATAAGCCTTTGGGACAGCCACCTCTGAAAAGACTGCAAACAACTCTCCAAACCTAAGGAGCTGGCTCCACCAGAGAGAAACACTGAGGTAGGCAGGGAGCACGAAGTCACCATCCCATCTGAAGCTCTACTTCCACCCTTGAACATGCCCGGTCCCACAGTCTCAGACCCATCTCCCACTTTGTCAACCTCATGGACAATCGCAATTGGTCCTGGTCTGTACTGCTGCAATGTGGACTTGCATAGGACGTGCCAAACCGCTTGTATTTTTCCAGATGTTCCTGGATCAGGGCAGGACACATCAGAGAGGATTCCCAGCTGAATGAGACTGAACTAGTTCCCAGCCTCAGAGGAGAGATGTTCTTTGGGCTCTAGTCAGACAAAAAGGATCTTCATTGATAACTCAGCTGAACCTTGCTGTGTGCCACGTACCAAATCATATTATCTTATTCAAGCATTGGAAACGGAGCTTGCTGCAATGGCCAGCATCTGTTTTCCCAACCAACCGTTCATGACTAGTTTACTGCTTTTTGTTCTTGTGCTAGCTCTTATTTTGGGAGTCCAGTAAGATTACTTCATTCCTAACACTTACCTCTTTACAGACACCAGCAGGTCCTCTCAGCTTCATAGCACTAAGCAAAGTAAGCTAAATTCTTTGTCTTCCTCTTAAGACCTGCTCTGCGTGGCACCGACTGCTTTAGATGAGCTCTGGCCAGGGCCATGCACAATCACACCAATTCTCTCTACTGGGGACTCTGCCCCAATGGATCTTAACTTTGCACACTAGGCAAGTGGGTCAAATTCCTCCCTTGAACAGCTAGTAGACACCAGATCCTCCTCAGGTCCCAAATGATGAGCTCTGGACTTTTGTGCAGCTTTGTATTTTGCACTACTGAGCTAGTTACAATTGAAATTTGTCCAATTCTCTAATGTCTTCCTGTGCTTCTGGAGGATATCCTGACCTACCTCAACATCACACGTTCCCCACATCTCTATTAACAGCCTCAACATTACTGACATCGGTGCCTGAGGGACTCCAAACCTCTCCAGTGGGGCAGCCCTTTCTCAGCTTCTACCTGTCACCATGCCTCCAGCCAGTGCCTGACTCCACATGCAGGGCAAATCACCCAAGGTTCGTCCAGCACAACAGGTTCTCATACTGGGCCCTCTAAAGAGGTTCCCAGACATTCACAACCGAGAATTCCTGTTAACTTACTTTTGTCTACGGGCGGTATCTGCCTTAAGTAGCCCGCTGTGTATGTCTGGTCTATAGGTGGCTACTAAGAGAGGAGGGCCTATGTCAGGTCTTCTCCAGCAGCTGGATTTCCTCATCATTACTGCTCTTTCCTGTTTCCATTCTGTAGATGTTTTGGCCAAGGAATCAAGATGAGGTTTAACAGTACTGGCCCATTCCCGCTCTAAGTAATTTATTCTTTTCTACTCAAAAGAACAATTCACCACTGTAAAACCAAACAATTTAATACTGTCAAATGAGGGTTTGCCTTCTTGAAAAACAAACAAAACAAACCAAAAAAAACCCTACACACTGCCACTCATGACTTTCAGAACTTCTGCTGGAGACTTGCAGGAACTAAAAATAATTTCTCCTAAATCTATAGTATACCACTGGTGGGCGTGAGGGGTGGAGATAAGGACAACTACAGCCCTATGAAGGGCTGGAGGCTGATCGCATCCAGAAACACAACATTGCTGCAGATGCACAGCCACCTGAATATTGTGAAGTTTTTGATCAAGAACAATTTTTTCCTCAGAGTGACCAATACCATTAAGATTTTGGCATTCCCCTGAGGCCTAGGCTGTAACGCAATCATAGGGTCTCGCTGATCCCAAACATGTTTGTTCCCTGTCTACAAGAACAATTACTTTGTCCCCGTTTTCGCAGAACAGGGTATTTAAGATCTCAAAAACCCTTCTGCTATAAAGTCTGTTTTTTTTTTTTTTAATGGAATACCAGATGTCTTTGTGCAGCATGCAGTATACGTGAACTATCAAACAGGTGTTTTTGTGAACCCTGCTAAACCTAACTTCTATTGCATGCATGACAGCCTCTGATTACCGGGAACTAACTAGACAATCTGGGGATACAAAATAAGACTTATTTTATAAGTCTTCTATTCATTCTGCCTTTCTTATCAGTACAAAGGATTGTAAGAGTAAACAGGAACCCAAAACCCATCTTCAGCTAGCAGTTCTATACAGTCAGAGGTCTGGCAATCACCACCAAGATCCTGCGTGTAGCTGAGCTGCTGGCAGGGCAGCACCGCTGTCAGGCCAGGGCCAGACCCCTGGAGAAGGGCAGAGGCATCAAGGCCTGCCCTGAGAGAGGGGCACTGTGTCAACAGTGACAGCGGTGCAGAAATTCAGCACGTGCCGTCAAGTGTAGGACCAATGTCGTCAGGGAGGAACTCTGGCACAGTGCTAGCCAGGACAACACCATCCTGCCAAGCGTGGAGCAGAATCAGCCAAGTATAAAGTCATCTTCCACACGATGTTTTCATTAGCTTCATTTTCCAATGTGTCTTTAAATACTGTTACTACCGCGTGTTGGATGGCAAGGGCCAGTTCATTATCCAGCCATTCTGTCCTTTGCTCCTGGGCCCTGTTTAAGCACCAGGAAGAGGCAGTAATCAATCACAAAAAGGGTCTGTCAACAGAAACCTTAGCCAGTGATGTAACATAGGCACTCCCATACCAGAAAGGCAAGTAAAATGGAATCCTAGCCCAACCTCCATCTATAATGGCTGTCTGCGCCTCATTAAGGACTTGATAATAAGCTTCTCTGTGTCCGGGTCCTATGGACATTCTGCAGTGGCACCAGCATTTCTGGAAAGAGCTAGGCTTGCTCTGTTTGTGGGAACAGAAAAGCAGTTTTGAATTTGCTGTTGTAGGTCATCCAGGGACCTGTCCCCTCTGATATTCTGGTCCTTGTGCCTCTGAACTTGCAAAGTCCAACTGGAATTCCTCAATGTGTTTTTCTGTCAGTCTGTTGCAGAGACTGGCTCTGCAGCTGGGTTTGATTAGCCACCCTTGGCAAGCCTTTTTCCTGTTCTAGCAGTTTATATCACAGCTCACATTCAACTTGGCTGGAAGTCACATGCATAACTTTGCTCTGTTATTGCAAAGCTGAAGCAATGCAACAGTGGAGCAATGGCCTAAGACTACCAGATTTTTCACTGTATGCCTTAGAGCTAAGCAGAGGTGGCCTTGCCTGACACACATCTGTTCCATTCATCACTGTGACAGCAACAACCCACTATTGAAGTCAGCTCTGAAAAACTCACTGCAAGCATGTTACAAGGCAGACAAAAGTTGCACCGTTACACCTCATGACAGTATTTTAGAAGCTGGGACAAGCAGCTTTGGTTTTGGTCTGGTCTAGTCACTATTGTAGGTGCATCACCTTGGTGTGCAAGCCACGTAGCACAGATAGAGGCTTCAGAGGAGCTTCACCTGAGCGTACATTTTAAAACAAACTCTTAACTGTACAAGATAAGAATACGCAATTTAAGGTACCTCTGACACAACCTCTTCTGACTGATTCGCACATGGTTGCTACCTGCCATCCACTACTATATCTAGTGATGACTTAATTCTATGAATGATCAGATGCATAAAGGCTAAGGACAGTTATGTTAAGCAAGACAAACAATGAAGGTCAAAAAGGAAAGCCAGATCACCAACATTAACAACAAACATGCCTTTCTCAGCCACAGAGAAAACGACAGCAAGGGGCAGACTACAAGACATAGCACCACGTGACTGATCTGTCTGGTAGGGAATTAGCAAAGCAAAGATGAATTTTAGAAAAGGATTCAGCCAAATAGGGTCTCCATGCAGGGTAGATGATAGGAAGAGATGTGAAGTACAGTAGAAGGTAGGGCAAGCAACTTGCCTTTGGCAAGCTGAACTCAATCTGACAATAAAAGCGTAAAGAGCAATAATCAGCATTACTACAGGAACATGCAGAGCTTGCTAGACTTCTCAAACCCTCAAGGACAGGCTAGAGCAAAGAGCTCACCAGGGTAAACAGACAGCTCATCAGAGCGCCCGTCAGTCATTAGGAGTGTCAGCCAAGAACGCACTTGGTGGTATTACTTCCCAACTGTCACCAGTGGCAGGTTTTAGCAGAGATGCCCAATCACACAGCAACTTGCCCTTTTAAACACTACATGCTGCAGAAGACATTTTCCTCATGTTCGGTGTCCAACTCACACCCACCTTTGTTCTGCATTCAAGACTTCATCCTTGCAAGCAGGAAAGAGAGTCTGCCCAACAGTCCTTCCTCTCCTCCTGAAGTAACC